ATTTAAGCTGTGACTACAGAATGCAATGCCATGAACCATATACACGAATCAGTCTTATTTTATAGTTACCCCACCTGCACATTCATTAACTGGATGATAACCTATTAGCCCTGCATTGCCACGTAAAAAACAATCACTGCATGAGGCAGGTACCCACTAATTTGCCCACCTCTTTTCAGAACCACTGCTGTCTTCTAAATGAAACATTAATTTTTCCAGGCAACTATTTCATCCAATATCTTGCTAGCAAAGCAAATACAGTCAATCCTCCATATCTGTGGGTTCTGCATTTGTGAATTCAAACAACATCGTATCGAAAATATTGGAGAAAAAAATCAAGACGTTTCTAAAAAGCAAAACTTGAATTTGCTCCGTGCCGTCAACTATTGACACAGCATTTGCATTGGTTTAGGTATAAGCAACCTAGAGATGACTTAAAGTATACAGGAGGATGTGCATTGGTTATATGCCGATACGATGCCATTTTATGTAAGGGACTTGAGCGTCTGAGGATTTTGGTATGGGGGGAAGGTTCTGGATACCAAGGAACGACTATATTTGATTCCTAAACTAACACATCTGATTTCAGTGATAGATGCTTCCAAAAGGAAGGAAACTACTGTAAATGTTGTGGCAGGATTCCTTCCATTGGGATGTTAAAATAGCCAATACCTTTTGAAAATATTTTTAAAATCTTCCTCTTCATCGTTTCCAAGGGATGCTGTACCCACCACCCCCACCCCCGGGAAAATGATCATTTAAGAAAATCTGCCCCAACTGTAAATATTTGGCCACTATTTTTCTTATAAAAACACAAGCACAATTAAAGCATGACTAGACCAGGCCCAAATGGTCAAGTTACATTAGAGATCTGGCCGTTATGGATGGTTTTGGATTCTGGAGAGACCAGTCTGGATCATTCATACACCATGAGCTGGCTTTTTCTAAGTTATTAGATCAGAATTATCCAAAATGTGTGGCTCTGGGAACCTGACCTCAAGGTTTAGCTGAGTTGGGCTTTTGAAACATACCAGATTGTAAAAGAATTTGTGGAAGAAATAACATCTTTGCTGAGACTCTACTGCTGTTTGTTACTGAACAATTTTTTTTTGGACTTTTGTGCTAAATCTGAGCTGGCACATTATTAACCTTTCAAATTAGGCATTTAGTAGGCTCAGCTGAATATTTTCTTAATTTGCACAAGAGGGTTTGCCAAAACAGCTGGTACTGTGCTGGAGTATTAGTTGAGATCTTTGATTTACATAGTCCAAGCACAAACACATAAACTTCGCTTTTGGAGAGGATGACCTAATAGGCACCGAATATAGTGAACTTTATTAATGAGAATAATAGCAACCACAATTGCTAATCCTTGTTGAGGATTAATATATAATTATAATCCAGGCATAAGGTATATTCAGTCATTTAACACTTTAAACAATCTTATGAAGTTTTATTCCCCCAATTTCATAGATAAGAAAACTCAACAGTGGCTAGACCATGTGCCATAAATTATACAATTAGAAGGTGGTAAAACAGCTTTGTACTGAGGCAATCTAGCTGCCGAATCTGCATGCTTACCACTTTGCAACATGGCCTCAGTAAATGTATCTGATAACCATAGGGAGTTTCCACCTTCTCAGGTCAGATTTCATCCAAAGGAGGTGTCACTCTGTGAACAGACTTCAGGGGAACAGAAGGTAACCAGGCTAAAGGGATGCAAGCCTCCACTCTCAGCCAACCACAGACAACTTTGCTGTTCCTGTAAATGTGTGTCCACTTTGGGTCTATTTTTAGTATGTTTATGATAAGATTTATGATAAGACTTGGTATGCTTATGAAAAGGCCCTGACATATATTAGGACTAATAGCTGTAAATGTGTAGGGTGGGGTCTTCCTTCCAGGATAAGGACATTCTAGGTGTTAGTCACCTGGGAGAAGAGCTATCTGACAGGCCCAGGACACAAATAGGCTCTCTAGCTGGGTAGCAGACTGGAATCCAGCTCTGCTGGTCTTGATCACCAAGGGGCCAAGAAGTCAGCCTGGGTTGTGGGGTGGAATGCAGCACTGTCCTGGGGTATGGGGGTGGGGAGACCAGGGGCAGACAGGGCAGAATCGGGGCAGGAAAAAAATGAGTCAAGGAGTTTGTGCCTCTCTTACTTATGCTATTTCCCCTTTGAACTCCTTGAATGTTTGGAAAAGGCTTTTGGAAGGTTCCAGTATATCTCAGATATCTCATTTGAGGGAATTTTTAAACACAGTGGGCCACAGAGCACTGGAGGGCAGCAATGATGGTGGCGGGGATGAAGGAATCGAATCCAGAGAGGAGAGGGAGTGGGATGAAGATGGAAACTTTCAGTTGTCTGCCATCCTCCCTCCCTTCTTGGTTCTGCTGCCAAACTTGGAGGTTCTGGCTTGTATTTTAATGTAGAGGCAGCCCTCCTGTATGCCTAGAGGACTGGCCTTCGAGGTGTTTGTGAATGGTTTGCAAAATTGCCACTCTTCTTTTCTGCCACAATAGACTTTGAGAGAATTGAAGACAATTCAAGGTGGCTCTCTTCCTTCTTTTTCAAATACAAGTGAAGATGTGTAGAGATTTACTTTTGCTGTGTTGTTGACAGTGCACACATATGTACAAGTGTCTATTATAGAAACTGAAGGAAATGCCATGTATATGTATTGAGTAGATTTATTAAGCTAAAAATAAAAAGTCCCCTGCAAAGTCCCCATTCCTGGCTCAAGAAAGTATCACCTTAGGAGTTTTACAGAAAATTTCCTGTAGCCTCTAAACCTGGAAGGGTAAAAAAGAAAAAAAATTTGCCAAGAGAGTTTCAGGAGTTCCAGTGAAACATGCATGCCACTTTCATTCCAAGAACCCTCACACCTCTCTCCTTTACCAATTTTTTCTGGAAAAGTCATGTTTTATTTCTGAAAACACCATACTTTAGGATGTAATGAACCTCCTAATATATTTATGTCTGTTTTAATATTATTTTCCTGATAACTTATTGTAAATTCCTCTAACATCACACTGACCCCCAAAGAGATTCCTTCAGAGGCATAAACTCAGAGAAAAGGATGAAGCTTCTTCCTTCTCTGTTTGGAAGATGTACTCAGAAACATAAATGTGTCTTCCGGTGTCAGGGAAGCCCCAGAACTAGAAGGCTGTGATACTTGGCTCTGACCTTGACACACGTGTGCAGAGATGAGAGTGAGGCTGTTCAGCCAGTAGCTCCCGGAGCTCCAAGCCTCCTCACTCTGGACTCGAACAAGATCAAGATTCCTGCCACAGAAATAGCTGAGCTAAACTCTAAAACTGGCCAAGAAAAAAAAATCTTGCATTCCTTAGGGGGGAAAATGCTACATTACACTGCCTCGTAGGGTTAATCCTGGCTTTGCCAACTGCCAGAGTTGTTAAAAAATTTTTTATAAATAATTAAATAAATATTAGCCAACTAAATGAAATTAGCCACTTAATAAAATTAGCCAACAAATCTACCTACCAGTTCGACTCGTTCACTGAAGGTTTTTCTGAGCCTTGAGCCTCATGAAAGGATTTCTAGGGAGGAGAAAGTAAGGCACCTTTCATGTCTTTTCATAAACCTCTCTGGGCAATCCTCGGGCTCGGGTCTGCCACACTCGCCTGGATCCAGGCGCTCCCAGCCTGGCCCAAGGCTGCTCAGCCAAAGCCATCAGAGACAAGACCTTTCTGGGAACCGTTTGCAGACGCGCCTGCAAACTGCGCAGACACCAAAGAAACAAGGAAGATTTCTCTGGCCTTCAGCAAGTACAGGAAAAGGGCTCTCTATAGCCTCAAGTTGGGAAACTTTCCGTCGAAACTACATTATCCTTTGTGAGTTGCCGAGAAACCTCTAGCTTCTTTTCAAGGGATCGTAACGACTTGTGTCCACAATTATAGGAACCCAAGCAAATCAGAAGGAAAAAAATACATACATTGACTAGAAGCATAAGTTACATGGCTTGTGCGCGGCTTTGAAACATTCTTATCTAAACATGCCAGTGTCTACGCAATCGGGCTGCTTTTACCCCGGTGCCTCATTTGTAGTCACTTGTCCCTTGTTGGGCTGCATTTTTTTTTTGGAAAAACTAAGCACCTTAACTCCAGTCTCAAAGCGCTCCTCTGCATCTCTCCTGGCGCCCCGCAAGCAGAGCCCAGTCCTCCGGCTGCTCTCTTCCCAGCCCCCTGCTAGAGGCCGCCGCGGTCCGTGGTCCAGGCACCCGCGGTGAGCGCGTGGGGAAGCCGTCCCCGGGGTATGTGTAGGTAAGGGGAATGGGTGGAACCTGGAGGATGCTAGTTTTAGCCAAGTTAACAGTGCCTGTCAGGGCACGCACTTCGGGTAGCCTCTGGGCCACAGGGTAGAATTGCAACCCCACAGCGATGATCGCAAGTTTGAACAGTCGAAGCAGCTTCACTGGGACTGTTAGGGCCGCATCATCGGCAAGCATACTAGGCAGGGACGCCGGAGACAGAGACCACCAAGTCTCGGGGAACGCATACCAGCCCCGAGGAGCACGCAGCCACCGCTTAAAGATTTCCCAGATGCGATCCCCTGCTCCTCTCTCTGTCTCATCCCTCCCTGGACCCAACCTCGTCAAGAAGTCTGATGCTTAGACCCAACTCTGGGAGGTGTGCTCCAAGACCCGAGAAGCCTCGAGTCGCAGTAAGTGTCGCCCACCTGGGGTTCGAACGTGTCGCGCAGCCACCTGTTCCATAAAGCCCGGAGTTTGTGCGGACGGGGGCTGCGGCAGGAAGAACCCTGTCATCCGTTCGGTCCGGCTCGGCCCATGATCTCCAAAGGCGCACATCACCCCAATTCCAAGTGCGCACATACCTTTGCGCAACCCCGGAGGCTCACACCACTCCCACCACCTGCGCGGCGACTTACTTCCCGGCCTCCCCGCTTCAGCCCCTTCCCCAGCACTGGCCGCAGGGCCCATACAGCGCCCGGCCCCTCCGGCAGGACGGTGCCCCAAAATACCTGCCGTGAAGATGCAGAGAGCGAAGAGAGTCTTGCAGACCATGGTACCTTGGTGCTTGGTGCCGAGCCCGGCGCGGGCGTTGGGAGAGTTTGCCGGGACTGACCGAGC